TGCTGGACGGTGTCCCCCGCTGTGAGTCGGGTCAGTGAGAGGTGGGAGGGGGTGGGAGAAGGGGGGAGGGTCGGGTCCTGTGACCACCCGGAATGGCCCTTCCTGGAACTTTTCACCCCAACCCCCCGGGGCAGAGCCTCGCTTTCCCAGTTTCTTCCCAGTAATTCAGTCCCATCTGCTCGCTTTTGTAAAACCCAAAACACGTGCCACGCCCCCACCCCGCGGCGAGGTGGAAGCTCCCTGCTGGGCCCTACAAGCCCATTGTGGAGCTGGGGGGCGGGGCTGTGGGAGCCAGGGCGGGGCTGTGGGAGCCGGGGGCGGGGCTTCGTCCCTGCGCAGCACCGCCCCACGCCGCCGGACGCTGTTCCCGCGCACGCGTTCCGGCTCCGCGCTGGCGCTGCTGGACCCTCTGGCGTGCCGTCCTTTCCCGGCCTGCCCCGCGCAACCGAACCCGGAAGTAGGGTTCGCCTACTCGGTAGAGGTGCCTCTGTGCCCGAGCCTCGCGCGGTGGTGGTAGCAGCGCCGGGTGGCGCAGCCCTCGGGAAGGGACTGGTCGGGCTGCCGCCATGGCCGGGGGCCAGGACCTGTTTGACGCTATCGTGATGGCGGACAACAGGTGGGTCCCCGTCCTATCGGGTCCACTCTCAGCTACTGGGGTGCAGTGACCGCTCGGGCCTGGTGTCCCGCGGGCGTGGGCCTTGGAGGAGTGCTCTGTGGCCCTAGAAGCAGCGGACACGTGTGGGGCCGAGCTACTGCTGATTCTCCTTTACTCCTCGGCCGCTGGGGCGGGGCGGGCCCCACGTGCCCAGCTGCTCCTCCAAACCCGCCTCCGCGTGCGGGGCTGCCCCAGGCATCTGCTCGGTCTGTTGACTGCCTTCCTCCAGGAACGCCCCGTCCGCGGCTGGGACAGACCTCTGCCATCTGGGCACTGCCCCCTTCTCTTGTTCCTCCGTGGTAGGACATAAGGCAGCATTCATGGACGTGCTGATGAATGTGTCAGACGTCATCCCTGACCCTCCAGAGCCTCCGGGGGCGCCTGGGGCTGTGATGAGGGGAGCTGTGAATTGCTTTGTGCCTCTGAGACGGCAATAGATGTCAATCAGTCGCTGCTGACTTTTATTTCGAGCTTATTGTGAATCCGACACTGACTGGAGCGTTGCAAACCCCCCGCCCCGTTATCTGTTTTAGCAGATTCTGTTATTCGCCCCATCTTACAGATGAGGCAGGGTCGCTGTCCAGGGTCACACCACCCAAACAGGCCAGACCTACATACCCTGCCTCATTAGGGGCTCCGACAAGCACCTTTCCTCTGGTGACTGGGGGTTAAAGGGTGCCATTTCTGCTGTTGAGCCCTCAGAGTCAGAGCTGGTATTATACCCCAGGCCCCAGGGCGCTTGGTGGCGACCCAGTGGCATTTTCCTCTGCCAGTCTACTCCCATGTGGTGGGAAACCCTGTGTATTTCTCAGAGTTCTTTGAAACGGTTGGCTGAGTGTGTATCTTTCAGACTCAGAGGACTTGGGCTGCAGACCAGCGTCACCTAGGAGGTGTCGAAAAGCAGATTCCCAAGTCGTACCCCAGACTCAGTGAATATTGGGGCGAGGCTCTTGCACTGGCATCTTTGGAGTTTCCCTGCGTGTGCCTGGTGTTCCGCCAGGCATGGGACTCACTGACGAGGCCACGCTCCCCATCGCAGAAGGGGCCAGTTGGGCTTCAGGAGGTCCCGTGACTTGCCAGAGGACAGACGTAGGAAGGGGTACAGCGGGGATTGGAAGCTAAGCCTTCTGACTTAAAGTCTGCACTTTATCTACTATTCTCTGCGTTGTCTTGCTGGGTCTGGGCATTATGGGAGAGAAGTGTTTCCAGGAAAAATGCCCTCCCTCCTGTTTGCTCAAACCCGCTTCTCCTCTGTCGCAGGTTCCACGGGGAAGGGTACCAGGAAGGCTATGAAGAAGGCAGTAGTTTGGGCATCATAGAGGGAAGACAGCATGGCACAGTGTACGGAGCAAAAATTGGGTCTGAGGTAAGTGGCCGTCCCCACGCAGCCCTGGATCCTGCTCACGGACCGTTGAGAGCTTACTTTGAGGGTCAGTCTGATTGAGCCAGCACTTCAGGCCTCTGACCATGGCCCTGAGTAGGCAGGATGTTGATAGAGAGATATTCTTAGCACAGAACCGGCAGCACGTATTGCAGATGGAGATAATTCGTTTTGCGTGCGGCTGGGGAGTGAGAAGAGCAGTCCGCAGCCACCTCCGTGGCCGGCGAGGGTCACGGTGCCACCTCGTGTCTTTAGCCAGCTGAGTCCTCACTCAGAAAAACTGCTCTGTGTCATGTGGGAACACTGCATTTTCACTGAGGTGGAAACTCCATGGTTTTCCTTCTCTTTACCCTTGACCCTCACAGACATCTGGCCCTGAACGCTAAGTCCAGGCAGCCATGACCGTGAGATAGATATCTGTTGCTGCAGAAAGAGTCAGCACAAAACGTATGGGCTGAGGTCAGCAAACACTGGTTCTCACCAGCTTCTGAGGGTCAGCAGGCCAGGAGCAGCTGAGCTGGGTGCTCATGGCTCAGGGTCTCCTGATGACGGTGTCAGACCAGCCAGGGCTCCACTGGGGCAGGAGGAGCCACTTGTGAGATGGCTCGCACGGCAGCTGTTCTCGCCTGTGGGCCTGTCTGTGGGTCTGCTGTGATGTCCTCGTGACACTTGAGTGAGTGAGTGATCCAAAACAGCAAGGTACAGGTGACGTTGTCTGTGTGTCTAGCCTCAGAAGTCATGTGTGCCCTTTCCTCCAGGTTCTGGTTATACTGACCACCCTGGTGCAGTCGGAGGGGGTGGGGTCCGTGGGCCCAGTTTGGAGACTGGCCGCCCCACTGATGACTTGACCTAACTCCCCGTCCTGATGCTCGACACCTAATCCCAGAATAGCAATACAAGAAGCACCACTGCCCTCCGCCCCCCTCTTGTTTAGAGGGCTTGATCATGAAATCGAGTGTAGCCAGTTGCGTATTAATTTTACTCTTAAATATTTGTGAATTCGCAGATCGGGTGCTACCAAGGTTTTGCGTTTGCTTGGAGATGTCTCCTGCACAGCCGTGCAACTGAGAAAGACAGGTAAGTTCGAGACTCCTTTCTTTTCCAGTGTATGGACCAAGAGTTCTGGTTCCGTAGCTTGCTATGACCTTGGGCACTTAATGTCTCAGTCTTCTCATCTGCAAAATGGAGGAAATAATCAGGCCGAACTTGAATGCTGTTGTGAAATTAATAGGAAATAGTATGGTAATTCTCCTTTATCTGCAGTTTCAGCCATCTGTAGTCTGAAAATATTAAATGGAAAGTCCCAGAAATAAACAGCTCGCAAGTTTTAAATTGTGCGCCATGGTGAGTGGTGTGACGAAACCTCATGCCGTTCTGCTCTGTTCCACCCGGGACACAGATGGTCCCCGTGTCCAGCGAATCCACGCTGCAGACACTGCCTGCGGGTTAGTCACGTAGTAGCCGCCTCGGTGATCAGATCAACTGTCCTGACATCGCAGTGCTTGTGTCAGGCCCCCCTTACTTTACTTCATCGTGGCCCCAAAGTGCAAGAGTGGTGCCTAATGGTCTAGCCGGCAATCAGGATACGCCATGGAGAAGCCATAAGTGTGTTCTTTAAGTGAAGAGGTGTGTGTGTGTGTGTAGGAAGAACCAATATATGTAGCATCAGGTACTATCCATGGTTTCAGGCGTCCACTGGGAGTCTTGGACTGTATCCCCGAGGTAAGGGGAGATTACCGTAATAGACAGTCCTGGGCACATTCTCAGTGTCTGATGAGTACCAGTTGTTACTACTTCTCAGGAGTTCTCATGTCCCTGGCCTTCGGATACCCTGCCAGTAAAATAACGATGACGTTGATTATATCCTCTCCCCCACCTGTGCCTGAATGTCTAACAAAGCACAGCAGTCACTGTACGACTAGGGCTCGGAAATGGTGGCTTCACTGTCACCGGTTTTTTAACGTAGCCAACCAGACCAATGAGATAGGCGTTCGGTGTGTGTAACAGGCGTCTGCACTTGGAAGCACCGTGCTGTTGGCTGTCACAGGCGTTTTAAACTGTTCTCACGGTGTGACCCGTAGCATCTGTCTTCATTCCGATGCCTGGCGGCCTTGCCTGGCCTGGAGGGGCGTGCGGAGAGTGGGTGACAGCGCAGGGAAGGTGGCATTCCCGTCTCCGTGACTCGTCATATGTGAGATATTTTGAGTTTCTGGAGCTTGGCCCCCCCTGTATTCGGATGTAAGAACAGGATGCTTTCGGCTGAGTGGTTGGTTCTAAGTTGCTTGCCTTCTGGCTTGTCTGCTCACCAGCCATCCATTTGCATGGAGAGCTGGAAACTGACCAGGTTCTGGCGCCTCTGCAGGGATTTTCCCCTGAGGAGTCAGCGGGAGCGCAGGGTGGCTGGTGATCTGGTTGGAACAGTGGCTGGCAGCCTGGGGCACCACTGGGTGGCAGTCACAGCTGAGCTTGGCTCTCCACTCCGATCCTTGAAGGGACGAGGGGAGGTGCATTCCTGGAGTTCTCCACGAGTCTCCCCAGTGCCAGGTGTGCTGGCGGGTGGAGGCATGTTGTCCTGGACCCACACCCAGGGCTCCAATCTTTGCCCAGAGCAGGGGTTCCCTGTGCCTAGTCTGTCAGACAGCAGGAACCGCAGCTTTGGCACCGGCAGGCGGATGTCCGCAGCCCACCTTGCGGCCGCCCCCACCCTGCCAGCAGTGCCTGAGGGTCTCAGAAGCATAACCTAGAGGCCTCTGTTTCAGTGCCCTGGCCGGGGGAATTGCTGGTGGAACGGCCGGCAGCTTTTGGCTCTTGTAGGTCAGTACAATTTTGAAAAAATGGTAGAAAGCTGATAGAGGATCTTCTGCTTCTTTATGTCCCAAATGAGGGCGCTGAGAGAGAAACACCTGCGTCCGCATCAGCACGCAGTGGGACTGGGCTCTTTACAACAGAGGAGCCACGGATGGCAGTACATGTATCTCAGACTGAGGATGGTGCTTTACGCCTGGTGGCCGTAGCTCTTCCATAAACTTGGAGCTGCTGCTTTGCCCCTGTGAGCAGCCTGGTGAAGCCTCACACAGACCGACGCTGGGCCAAGGCTGAGCTGGGGCGGCTGTGAGCGGTCCACACCCTCCTGGCACACACTGACGTTGCTGGGTGTGTTCGGAGCAGTGTCACTGACCAGGGAAGAATAAGTCGCTGCTTGCAAAGTTGGAAATGGTGGTGTTCTTCGTATCATGTTCGAATACGACTGTTTCCCACATGCTGGCCTCTGCCTGCGATCTCCCTGGAAACCAAGTGCTTTGTTGCTTTAATTAACTTTCTTTGACCTTTCACCGTGCTGCACTTTCTCAGCGAGGTGGCCACCATGGTCCTGGTCCAGAGATTTGCTTGGCAGACTCCCCCGCGCCTGTATCTAAAGCCAGCAATGCAGCAGGCATGCAGGCAGTCTTGGTTGCTTCGAATTGCTGTTGATTCACCTCCAGGATAAATTCTTTGAAATTCCCATTAATCAGATACTAGCATACTCTTGACACGCAGATGCTCAGATGTGGTCCAGGGGTGGTGCCCGTCAGGATCCTTGTGGCACGTTACCCAGACGCGCACACTTAGGACTGTTTTCACCCTGAGCTTCCCCAGGTGGGGCCCCGGCCTCCAGGGTCTGGTGGAAGCGAGGACGCTAAACTTATTGAGCACCTACTCTGTACTAGGTTCTGCATTTTCCGTAGATTATCTGTGGCCTCGAAAGCCGGTAGGGTCACTGTGAACGCCCCGTTTTACCGATGAGGACGCTGAGGCTCAGGGTTAAGTAACTGAGCTCCTTGGAGCGGTCGCTCAGGGCTGCTCTTCCTGCAGACCCACCCGCCCAGAGCTCTGTCTTCCTGGGAATGGGAGCTGGACTCACACACCAGACACCGCGCCTGCCCTTTGCAGGGAGGGGCTTGCTGGTTCACCTGCCACTGAACTCTGGGAGCCAGGTGTCTAGGTCCCAGAAACCCCCCAGGTCCAGAGCAGGCTCCATCGTGCCGGCGCTCTGTCCTGTCTGGTTTGATCTGTCCACGTCTCTGACCTAAGGAAGCAGCAGTCGGGTGCTTGTTGGGGGCTGTCCCAGTCCCCCGGCTCCATGCCTGGGATGGAGGCATATCTGTCCGCTCAGTGCACTCGATGTGGAGGCGTGGGAGTGGGCAAGAGCACGTTGCTAGGTAAACAAATATTGTTTAGTGTAATAAGAAAATGAATCATCCAGCTTCTGAACTCGGCCCATTAGCACGCCTGTTACTTTTAAGTGAGTGATGGCCGTAGTTGTTACACAATCTGAGCCTGTTGTGTACAAAGGACTAAAAGTCTTTATCTCTGTACTTTACAGCAGAAAGATGAAGGTCTTAGAATCCTTGATCAGCATGATTCAGAAGTTCCCTTACGGTGACCCTACTTATGCCAACCTTCACGAAGACTTAGACAGAATTAGAGGGAAATTTAAACAGGTTTGTCCACCGTGTGTTTCTTTGGGGCAGGAGCGGCGCAGGCCCTGGGGGCTGTTTGGACCGATGAGGGGTCGGTGTGGACTTGCGTGAGGGCCCGTGACGGAGACAGAAGCTGCAGCTAGAGGTAGTCATGCTCCAATTGTGCGTCAAAATACACAAGATTATAAAAACCCTCTCTTCTCTTTTGTGTTTTCAGCTTTGTTCATTACTAAACGTTCAGCCGGACTTTAAAATCAGTGCGGAAGGTTCTGGACTTTCATTTTGAGGATGACAGATGAACAAAGATGAAACACGAAGGAACAGATGTCCGTATGCTAAGTGCTTAAAACTGATGAAAGGAAAACAATGATGGGGCATTCATTGTTCTCGAGGGAGGGTTCCTCCCTGAACCTGCCTGTGTCGCCTCGGTGCCCCCACAGCCTGCACAGGCCTGCGCCCGTCTGCCCTGTAGTCTGAGCGAGGCCCTGGTGGAGCCCTCCTGTCTGCCTGGAGTTGGCTGGCCTCACTGGCCCTGCCCGGCGGGCGGGCCCTGCTGCTTCTAGACCCAGCGGCTCCCCCAGGCTGGACTCGGCGCTCAGGAACCGTTTTACAGAAACGAGAGCCTCGGGTTGCCATGTAGTGAGTGCACGGGAAGTGGTGACGTGTGCGGTAGCATTTACTGAACCTTGGGCCGGGCCAGCACTGTGTGGCGTGCCGCCTGTTGCATTTGGTCCCTTCTTTAGCCCGCCAGGTGGTCATTCCCGTTTTCCAGGTGGGGGGCTGAGACCTGTGGCGCCGGCCGAGAGGAGAGGCCAGCGGGACTTCGGAGCCGGGCGTGCTGGGTGTTGCAGGTGGGGCTGGGCTTTGCAGCGTTAAAAGTGGTTAAGGGGGAGCGTGTTAAACTGGAGACGAAATGATGGGCTACGCTGTGTGGAAGACACAGGTCCTTTGGGTCGGAGTCCTCCTGTTTGTCTCACATAGAGGGTATCCTGACAGGGAGAGGCCCGGCCAGGCCTCCCTGAGCTGAATGGTTCTCCACGTTTCTCTGTGCTTCTGTGTGTCTCCCCCTCTCTCAACACACAAAAGTGCCAGGAGAATGCCATGCGGTTCCCATCGCCGCTGTGGGAGAGAACCTCG